AGTTCTGATCAACATGACTTCGCTAAAGGCCAGTAGCTTCCGGTTCTGATGACGTAACAATATGTGGCCCATAAAGAACGTACTTCATGATAACGGCTACCCGGAACGATTTATCGTCAGAAATATGATCAGAATATCACCTAAACCTGAAGTGCATGACGTAAGAAAGAAGCGTGTTTATTCGCGTACCGGAGTAAACTTAACCCTGCGAAAAATGCAACTGTCGATATACCTAAAACGCTGTCTACATCAAACTCCCCTTCAAAGGTGATAGTCTGATGAACACCTTTAGGAAAGATTATCAGTGCCGTGTTGAAACGTGTGTATAATGCAGCAAAGCTTGTCCTACTTTCACAAACGACCAGTCCCCCTTTCACCCCAATTAGGAAAGCGATGCCCTTTTTTTACCAGTCATTGAATCTATCAATTTTTATGCAATAAGAGAAGCATACATTGATAGAACAGAAAGAATGCTCAAATTCCAGGGACAAGGAGCACATTTCAAAGTGGTTGAGTGTTGCATTAACTCACCCAACAATGAGTAATACTCAGCGAGGACGAAACGCTGCTTCATCCGTTGCAAAGCACTTATCGACCACAGGTCACAGTGTCAATATCGCATTTTCGTTTAAGGTCTTGATGAACGCCAACAAGTCGCAAATTCTCAAGTATGTTGAAGCGTTGTTGATAAGTTGTCGACAGCGCACAAAAACAACTGACTGTCAATTTCTTGTTTACTGTGGGTTTAGCCGTGAGTACCAATCACGATCCAGCCCGATTTGTACTTTTAATCGTTTCATTTAAGTCTTGTTGGTTTTGTTTTCATGCTAGTCACACGTTTACGACTGACGAGAGTGTGCGAAATGAATTCATATCGTAATTTGTGTCTTCTGACTATTCTATTCAAATGGCTAAAAGGGACTCAATGTTTCAAAATTATGCTGTCGCTGAACGGCCCAAAAAACGTTTCTAGCATTTATGCCCCAGCAATTACCCTCGTTCAGTGGTGTTTAGCAGGTTGGAGTTGTAGAGACTGAGTAACCATCCTTTTCTAACACAGTTCTGATTCCTACCTCAAAAATGTCTGTTGTTAGCATGCTGCTGTTCAATGTTGAAGATGATGTCAAAACTAGCCGTCCAATGGTTTAGTGCACAATGTATTTACATTAGTAACACATCGCGGGTTTGAAAAGTCAGACTGCATTGCTGTCGCATTCTGTACACATTCTCGGTGGTGTTACTCTCAAAGCACTGCTGCGTGGCTGAAAGTACTATGTGATAATTGCGCCTCTGTCTGTGGACGTCTGGAGTCACTTTTGATAGCCATGGATAAATAAAAAATGTTAGATAGTTAGGTTTGTTAGCAGTGTTTAACGACTGCTTTTTAACTGATTCGATGACTCTTGGTTATTAGCATTTTGGGTGCATATACTGGACGGAAATAGCACCTCTGTAATCCGCAAACTAAACAGGAAACGCTGATAAGGAATTTGGTTAATCAGTCTTTACGATCTTTACAATCTTAGCAATAACGCTTGAACAGCATGTGAATTCCACATTAGAGCCTTCTCGTTGTGCTACTTCTAAAGGCAATAATCAGGAATACTGATCTAGCTGGATGACAAGGCTGTGTGTACTGTGCGATAATATCACATATGCACACAATGCAAAATTTATTTTGTGTCACCATAATGGGGAAATTCGTGTACAGGTCGATTAACATTTACCATGCAGTTTAAGCGTGCACAGTACAGGGTTCCAGTGCAATCCAACGGTTTAGTTTTGTACGGACGCAACCGGTTTACGAGTACGTGGTCATACTGGTTTCACTGTACTCTGAGCGATGTCTTGCCAATCACTTAACCATCTCCTTTATTTGAGTTTCCCTCTTGGTCTGTCAATTGGGAGGAAAGCTATGTCCATTCCCGGACTAAGCTGATGATTAAAGTCAGATTGGCATTAATCGTACTATCTCCACTAAATTATCTTTGTCTGCCTCCGTCAATTGTAACTCCATTATTGTGATTATTGTGACTTTGTTCGGAAGTTTTTAAACATTCTTTTTGTTACTTTCAAACTATTAAGTAATATAATGTTGATGAGTAGTAGGGGATTTGGTTAATTTCAAGTTGAACATCACCCACAATTGATCGCAGCTGTCGCATTCCCATAGACTTTCCAGTCGGCCCCTTTCGCTCTCATTTGAGCTCGTCAGTAGTGCATATCCTTGCCACTGCCGGGACTTGAACTCACAGTCTGAACACAGTTATTGAAGGTGAAAGTCGAATATGCGCACATAGACGACACAAATCCTATGACAAATGAATAACCGCCTACTGTAAACGGACGTCAACAGTGACGATTATAATCGACGACTATCAAAGAAGTTCTGTGACTGAGAATCTTGATGAATAACCTACTAGAACAAGCCTGTACGCAGCGACCTAGGCAATCAGTCGTGATGAGCAATCGGAGAATTTGGTTAATTTCAAGTTGAACATCACCCACAATTGATCGCAGCTGTCGCATTCCCATAGACTTTCCAGTCGGCCCCTTTCGAAAAGAAGCACTAGACTCGAGTTTCGCTCTCATTAGAGCTCGTCAGTAGTGCGTATCCGAATATGAATGTCCCGAGCTCCTGGCGTGGCTTCGTAGCTCAGCTGGTAGAGAGCTTGCAGAGTTTGCGCATCGTGTTTCTGTCGCTGGTTCGAATCCAGCCGGAGCCTTGAATTTCAAAATTGTGTCTCATCTAAAATCATAAATCTGCCAAGCTACTTAGTATCGAGACGATCGGGCAACCTGATCATTACTCACAAGCGAAAGTGGTTGAGCGTTCACATATGATAATTCGGTCGTGCCTAATGTGAGGTCAATGGCGCAGTGGTAAACACGGTTGCCTCATGAAAGCATGGCCGGAGTTCTAGTCCGGCAGTGGCAAGGATATGCACTACTGACGAGCTCTAATGAGAGCGAAACTCGAGTCTAGTGCTTCTTTTCGAAAGGGGCCGACTGGAAAGTCTATGGGAATGCGACAGCTGCGATCAATTGTGGGTGATGTTCAACTTGAAGTTGAATGTAGGAAAAAATGCACGATTATACGTAATGCTACGGATTTTCTGGGTTATAAGCCATACAGATAACTAGTAGATAAAAGCCTATTCTTGGCTGCATCAGCGTACGCATTTGAAGATAAGGTGATTCGACATGTGTTATTTACCCGTGGCTACATGCATCAGCCTGCCACAATTGCTTCCGTGTTGGTCTACCTTGGCAAGACTTGTAAGCCTATCTTTACACGGCTCATCATAAAACAATTCCAGACATTTAAATCCCACACCCCGATCCTCGCAGTTCAAAGCGACTGCAGTCTTGGCTTTCTCAACGTTGGATTGGATTGAGATATGCGGCCTTCCCATTCGCACATTTGATTCTTGGCCTGCTTGGGCTTGCGTGTTGAAATATGTACAGTCTACTGTCTTGCAGTACAGTCGTATCTACTTGGTGTTGCCTGCAGTTTCTACCGTCCACAATAGGCTACTACTGT